CCCCATATGGTCTTCCAAATGGTACCATTCTGTGCCCTGCTCGTGGCGGTCGTCAATGGATGCTCGTGCTCATCCATGGCGAGGCGGCAGGCGGAGTGCAACACACGGGGACATCGTACAAATGCTCTTAATGGTGTCCATGTCCGCAGGGAGAAAATGCCGTTGCAACACCTGCATTCTCCATTCGCCATTCGCATCCAGGAGGTCGGCCACTCGCCGCAACCTGCAGGTGCCATGTTTCGTTATAAAAAAGTTATTGCTTGAGTCGATCGGTGGATTATTTCTCCATCGAAATGGCATGGATCGGGCCGGAAAACCCTATGATTTGGATTCATGCCGGTAGAGCAGGAGCACATATAGCAGGTGGAATTTTGTACGGATTTATTCACCAGTGAACTCAATCCAATCCATTCAATTTTTTTTAGCAAAGCAGTCCATTTGTTTAAGGGTTGAAAACTCTGAAATTTCATGTCTTTTGCACGAAACCACAATATCACCGCGCACACAGAAGGATCGTAATTTGTATGCCAACAATTTTCACTTTTCTTATAGTCATTTTTCAAGTCATAGTATAACATTCAAGTATGTAATCCTTATCTTGCTTTGTGAGATAATTCTCTTTCTGAAAAATACTCTCCTATTGCTCGATATATAGCATATTGACCATCACAAGTAAAATTGTGAGAAGTCTTTTTGGTAGTGTGTAATGGTTGACTATGAAGTGCATGGCCCCTTTTACTTTCACCGCCATGCTTAACGGGAGGGGAGCAATTGTTTTCCAACTTAAAGGCTTTCTCTTTTCAATGACATATATTCTTTTGTAACATTTTAGGCTAGTTATGGTGATTGTTTACAAGTAATAGATATATAGCATACTTTTCATTTTCAACGGAGTGCTCCATGTAAATCTTAACGGAGCTTGTAGTTTTGATTTTTTTTTAAAACCTCTACTTATATTTATTTTATACAAGCACAAAATTACAGGGGGCAAGACTAAACTCCCACTCATCTTTAACCTCGAGGGAGTACCAAACCCACGACAACCTTTTTCCTCTTTTTAATGGTGATAACGGTGCCATCTTCATGGTCATCATGTGCCCCTCGTTGCTGACGAGCTTCTCTTTATTTTCAACTTTATTGTCGTCACGCCGCCTACAAATTAGAACGGGGTGACCAAGTCAATGCAATGGGTGTATTCAGTTCAATTCCACTATCACTGCAATAATCTTTGCCGAACTTGCCTCCTCTAGTCGCCTATGCATTTTGCTCACGCCGACATTCTTCCCGCGTGCCTTCACCTTTCTTCGCGCCACCGATGCGTTGTTAAAAATAAAATATATACACTTCTACTGTTTTCTAGGTGTATTAGAAATAAACTTTAACTTTTCATATAAAATATAGACACTTGTACTATTTCCTAGGTGTATTAGAAATAAAAATTACAGTACAAAATCGTGCAGTGAAGACTTAAAAAGACCAAAAGGAAGACACATAAATCGTGCAGTGAAGACTGAAAAGGACCAAAAGGGAGACACATAAACCCCTAACCTCGCCGGAGTGCCAAACCCCTCTGCCCCCCGATGGCGACGGCGGCGTCGGCGCCCGTCTCCACGGCCACGGTGCGAGTCTCCAATATCCCGCCTTCCGCTGTCGCTAAGAAGCTTCTAGCCTTCTTCGATTCCGCCGTCGCCGCTGCCGGCGCCGAGTACGCCTGCGAGATCGCCGCCGCCCGACGCGGCTGGCTAAGTCGAGGCAATGGGATCGTCCAGTTCGATTCCACCGCCGCTGCAACACTCGCCGCCGAGCTCGCCTCCTCCGGTCGCCTACCCCGCTTCCTGGGCTCCCTCCTGTCCGTCTCCCCTGCCCCCGCGGACCTTCTCCCCCGCGCGCCCGACCATTCTCTCCGCACGGCCGGCGCGCGCCTCCTCGTCGGCAACCGCATCGCCGAGCGCGAATTCGAGGCGGCTGATTCTTGGGACGGCGTCCGCGTGGAGGTCATCCCGGGGAAGCGGCGCATAGACCTGTACCTGGATCACGATTCCCAGATGTACAGGCTTGAGGTGTTCTTCGAGGACATCAGGAACTGCTACAAGTGCAGCTTCAATGGGGCCGGCGCCATCTTGCTGCAGGTGAGCTGCTCACCGTGTTGCCCTGATGCTACTATTTCTGTGTTATATTATTCAGAGCTTGCGGTTACAGGGTGAGGTAGAAAGTTCCATTAGGCGCATTTACATGTCACAGATGAGATTCGAGCAAGTGAAGTGAGATATGATAATATCTATTTGAAGAAAAAGATGACCTACAGACAGTAGGTTTGATATGCATGTTGTGCATACCTTGAATTAACTCCCGGTATGGTTCACGACTGGAATTCGTGAAATGTGAGTAATACAAGAGATATGATGGACAGACGGCATTGGACCGTTGAATCTGGGGTAAAATTGTGCTCTCTGTCAAAGCAGTGTTAGGGAGTCTAGAGAGCATCTCTTCTTTAACTGCAGGTTTGCACAGAGATGTTGGAGAAAAATCAACAGCCAATGGGGTGCAGGCTCAGATATTATGACTCCCTTTAGGTCTGCAAGGGATGGCTTCAGCGGCCCTTGTTTCATGGAAATCGTTTCTTCGGCCCTATGGAACATTTGGAATCAGAGGAATGATTTGATCTTTGAATAAAAGCCTGCTTCGCTGGTTGGTTGGCACAGAAGATTGGTCAATGACTTGAACCTCATTGCTTATAGGGTTAATCAGTGGACGTTCCACTGAAAGCTTGGACTGCCTCTGTTTCTTAAACCTTTGGTTGACTACTATTTATGTTTCTTTTTCTCCTTCTTTTAGTTTCGCTTCTCTCTTTTTCTTCTGTTTGTTGGGGGCCATCTCAACCCCTATGTAAATATGTAAACTCCTTTTGTTTCCTCCCTTATATTAATGAAAATTACACCGTAGGGGATTCCCCTACTGTTTGCCCGTAAAAAAAGGGCACTTTTTTTTGTTATGGTATATTTAAAACCTGAATATACAAAGCTTGTTTCACAAAATGCTATCGTAACTATCCAAATGGTTGCTTCTTTGTAGACATAATTAGATTAGTTGAAGGGTTTTCAGAATCTTGACTCATATGAATAAGACTCTTGCTTTTGTTACAGCAGTTTACGGAATTTTGTCCTGTTGGGTTAATGAATTGGACCCACCTTCTTTTTCTTTCCAATGCATATGCTGGACTATTTTGGGGGGCCATTTAGTGTCAAAATAAATAATGTGCGCCAATGCTACCAGTTTGTTAACTACTTATATATTGGCAAATGTTACAGCAAGATGTTATATGTATATCTAGTTGTATCCAGTATGTCAAATGTGGGAAGAACTTTGAAACAGAAAGCTTTAGATGTAAATCCTCCCTTGATACTTACATGAGCTAAAAAATTGGCAAGTTCTTGAGTCAGGAAACTAGAGTGAACTATCACAATCGTCTGGTTTGCAGTTATGCGATAGAGCCCATAGAGTAAGATGGATAGTTCTGCTATTTTTATTTCCACTAATATAGATATCTCAGTTGGTGGTTACTGATTAGAGTGAAACAGATATGAAGCTTATCTAATGAATACACGTCATAGATACTTTTCTTAATTTACTGGTTGCCATTCTTCTTAAGACTATTAGTTGGTCAGGCGTAACACTCTTTTAATATGTCTATAATTCTGAAGCTGTTAAAAGTATATATTATCTAACATTAATTTAATGTTTGTTCCAGCTCATATATGCACCAAGAATATGCACTACAATTTCGGGGCCTGCAGTTTATTCAAGGTTCTCAGATGACCGCTTTCATGCATGCAAGGAGGATGTGAAGTTTACCTGGGTCAGAGCACTAGATTTTACTCCTAACCACTCTTTCGGAAAGTGTTCAACTCTCGCCCTCGTACTTGATGGTGCACCAGTGTCATTTATTCTCAACAGCTTACCTTTGTCAGGAGAATTAGGGGAATTCTTTAATGGAATTTGTTGGCCCGTCGTCCAAGGTGGTTCCCCTTGTTGACTGCCTGACTGGTTGTTCAGTGTCTTATGAAGTTCTTTTTCGTCTCAATTCTCTTGTTCACATGGGGAAGATAGTTGCCAAACATGTTAATGCTGGTCTGTTTAAAGCTCTTGAAGAAATTCCAGTTCATATTTCAAGGAGGATTTTCGAGAAAATGAGTAAGTTAGAGTTTACATGCTATGAACCTTTGCAATTTATCCAGCAGGAGGGCTCATAGCAGGAAGAGGAGCCACAATGCTCTGCTGTCCAGTAAGACTGAAGGTGAAGGAAAATTAATGATGTGCTACAGAATTCACATTACTCCATCCAAAACATACTGCTTGGGACCTGAGGAAGAAGTTTCAAATTATGTCGTTAAGCATCATAAAAAGTATGCTTCTGACTTCGCTAGAGTTACTTTTGTTGACGAAGACCGGAGTAAACTTTTTCCAGATGCTATCTCAGCTAGAACTGGACGAGGGTTCTTTTCCCAACCCTTGAAAACTGGCCTGTATTATCGCATTTTATCCATCCTGAAAGAAGGATTTTCCATTGGTCCAAAGAAGTATGAATTCTTGGCCTTCTCAGCAAGTCAACTTTGTGGAAGTTCTGTTTGGATGTTTGTTTCTAATGATTCCCTGAAGGCTGAGGATATAAGAAGCTGGATGGGCCACTTTGAAGAAATCCGTTCAGTATCTAAGTGTGCGGCTAGAATGGGCCAGATGTCAGCTCCTCCAGACAAACAGTTGAAATCCTACCGTGGGATGTGGAAGAGATTCCAGATATTGAAGTCACAACTGATGGCACTAAACACATATTTTCTGATGGTATCGGGAAGATTTCTGAGAAATTTGCCAAAGATGTGGCTTACGAAATTGGGTTAGACCCTACAAACCCTCCTTCAGCTTTTCAAATAAGGTATGGTGGCTACAAATGAGTTGTTGCTGTCGACCCTGATTCCTTTCGTCATCTTTCTCTGCGACCTAGTATGAAGAAATTTGAATCAAAGAGCACAATGTTTAACATTACCAGTTGGAGCAAACCCCAGCCACGCTATATGAATCGTGAAATTATCTCTCTCCTTTCGACTTTGGGGATAAGCGATGAGATATTTGAGTTGATGCAACAAGATGATATGCGTGAATTAGATGAAATGCTGACCAACAGAGAAGCTGCTCTCTCTGTTCTGGGGAAAATTGGTAGTACCGAAACGAAGACAGCATCGAAAATGTTACTGCAAGGTTATGAACCAAGTTTAGAGCCTTACCTGTTGATGATTCTTAAGGCCCATCAGGATAATAGGCTGACTGACATAAGAACTAGATGTAAGATTCATGTTCCGAAAGGCCGTGTTCTTATTGGTTGTTTGGACGAAACAGGCGAATTAAAATATGGTCAAGTGTACATCAGAATTACAAAGAACAGCAAAGAGCAGAAGGATAATGGTCAACCATATTTTCTAAAGATAATGGGAAAGACAAAACAGCAGTTGTTGTTGGAAAAGTTGCAATATCGAAAAATCCTTGTCTCCATCCTGGTGACATCAGAGTGCTTGAAGCTGTCTATGACCATGGATTGTATGCTAACAACCTGGTTGATTGTGTTCCCTCAAAGAGGAGAAAGGTAATGCTGTATGTTATACTGAAACTGAAAGACGACCTATTGAGCTCTGTCAATGCCTTCAGAGGAGCTCAAATATCTATTGAAGTGTTTTGTCAGCGTTAGTTTCCATGTTATACTGAAACTGTACTTTATAGTTTTTATTGCTCTGTTTTTTTTTTTTGACAGAAAGACTGTAAGGGAACCCCTATAGTTTAATTTGTGCAACAAACCCAAATTGCAAGTACCATGCCTTGAACCTGGGTGGGTGGGAAGGCATCAGCCCCTTCCCACCACTAGGCTATGCCTTAGTCTGCAGTTTTTTTTTATTGCTCTGTTATTGCCTTCAGAGGAGCTCAAATATCTTTTGAAGTGTTTGTCAGCATTAGTTTCCATGTTAGATTGATATCCAATCATGTTACATACTTACATCTCTACCTATTGATGGATGTTGCGAATCTTTGCTTTTTTCTTGAATTAATCTTTGATGTTTAATAGGCATCGTCCATATAGACTTTAATCTTTGATGTTAATCAGGCCTCATCCAAATGAATGCTCTGGGGGCGATTTGGACGGTGACCTCTATTTTATCACTTGGGATGAGAAACTGATTCCAGAGAAGGTTGATTCACCTATGGACTACACTGCAGCAAGGCCACGCATAATGGATCATGTTATCACACTCGAGGTATATTCTTGACTGTTTATTCATTTTAATCTCTCTTCCTAGGTTGTTGCTATTTTTTACCGAAGATTATTTTATTGGACTAATATCATTTTATACTTGCAAATATAATCAAAATATCAGTATTTTTACAAACTGTAGCATTTCAATAATATTTATTATCTCGACGCACCTCACATCTTTCTAAAACATTTCTTTGCATGACAAAAATTGGGAAAATGCCTAAGGACTTCATATAACATGCGATAGAGCAACATGATCAGAGAGAACTGGCTACGAGTGTCAAACTCAACCAGGCTGACATAACAGCCAACACAAATTTTGAATGCTTTGAACCAAATATATGCTCGCCATGCACAATTAATGACGTTCTTTAGAAATGTGGGTACTTATTTCAGGAAAAAAATAGACATTTTTTGCTGTCCTCTAATGAGAACAACTGTGCATGATCTCTACTCTTATAAAAAACAGAGTTGGTGATGATGGTGTGCCTGCCATCCTGCAACATAGGCCGTCTGATTTATATCCGACGGATAGGAAGGAAACTATGGTAATTTTGCAAAAAGATACCCACACCCCTCTCCACATTTGCAAATAAGGCCTTCCCTCGTTCATCCTTTTCTCCCACAAGATAAACTACTCATACAAATGCATCTTGATGTTCCGTGCAACGCATGGGCATCTTGCTAGTTTGAGTTTTAAAGTGGTCTTGGGTTTTGGCTTTAAAATGTTCTTGAATGAATATCTCTAACCTTGTTAGGTTCGCAACTACTCCCTCCGTCCGGAAAAGCTTGTCCCTCAAATGGATGTATCTAGCACCAACTCTTCGCCTGACACGTTTATACCCGAAATCTTACAAAAATATGTGATGAACTGCAGGAAATCCAGAAGTACTTTGTGGATTACATGATAAACTCGCTCGGTGCAATCTCAACTGCTCACTTGGTCCACGCAGACCGTCATCCAATGAAAGCTCGGAGCCCTGAGTGCCTCCAGCTAGCTGCTTTGCATTCAATGGCAGTCGACTTCGCCAAGTCAGGAGCTCCAGCTGAAATGCCGCAGTCACTGAGACCAAGGGAGTACCCTGACTTCATGGAACGCTGGGACAAGCCAATGTACATCTCCAATGGAGCTCTCGGCAAGCTCTACCGAGCGGCTGCGAGTCGGATGCAGAGCTCTCCTGCTCCCTCCTTTGCTCAGCCAAATCCTGTGTTCGATCCTGACCTCGAGGTCCCTGGCTTTGAGGAGTTCCTGGAGTCCGCAGAGGAGTGCTACGACCTGTACACGGAGAAGCTGAGCGCCCTGATGGGCCACTACGGCGTGGAGCACGAAGACAAGATCCTGACCGGCAACATCCGGAACAGGCTCCTGTACCTGAAGAAGGACAACAAGCGGTACTTTGAGATGAAGGACCGCATCATCGACTCGGTCGAGGGCCTGCACAAGGAGGCGCGGGGCTGGTTCACGTCCTGCCCGAAGGCGGAGGCGCCGAGGAGGGCGTCAGCGTGGTACCGCGTTTCCTATCACCCCGACCACCGGCGGCGGGAGAAGAAGCGGTTCTGGAGCTTCCCGTGGATCATCTGCGACGAGCTTCTGAAGATCAAGGAGTCGAATAACGGCGATGACCCTTTGCAAAGTCATTTATCTGTGGAGAATATTCACTAGAGAGTCCTGCCCCCTCCTCCCCCCGCGTCGCCTCCCCGAGCGGGGCGACCGGGGGATCTCGTCGCCCCCCTCCCAGCCCCCCCTCCCCCTCCTCCCCTTCCGCCGCCGTCGGCCTGGGCCACCGGGCCTTGCCCGCGTGGTGCCGGCGGCGGCGGCCCCGGCCTTTCCCCCCCGCTTGGCGCCTCGGCTCGGGCGGACGGCGGCCGATGGGGGTGCTCCTCGGCGACATTGGATCCGGCGGCGGCGCAGTGCTGGGTGGTGTGCGGGC